CCTCTGGTTCCGTTTCTGCAGCTGGGTCACAGAGGTGAGGTTGGCTCCAGGCTGTCTTTCTTTCAAGCCAGGGAAGTTTCGCATCCCTAGCGTATGATTTTGGCAACCGATCTGTGCTCCGCAGCCTGCCGGGGCAGGTGTGAGTGTCCCACCCTGACACAGCTCTGCTCTGTGCGCTCTCCCCTCCAGCCAGCCGGTACAAAGGGCCACCATCCCCCTGGTCATGACCTGCCAAGCCTGACCTGTGCCCAGTGCTGTCTCGTCCTTCCACAGGGAAAATCAGAGGAGGGAAAGGCCAGCCAAGAGCAGGCGGCTCTCTTTGCAGGACCTACTGCTTTGAGCATCTTACTGGAGCCAAAGGAAAAGATGGTGCAGCAGGACGTGGCCCTTGCCAACGCCAGAGCCTCGCAGTGGCTACTGAAATGCATCTGCCATGTGCTGCCTCTGCCCGTTGAGCTGCAGGCTTGCATCAGCCCAGCCTGAAGGCGTTGCCTCCCTTCTTGGCTGGTCAGAGGACTGTGGGTTTATCTCTTTTGCCTTATTAGCTGTACAGCTGCCCTGTTAACAGCAGTTCTGAAGACAGCAAGCAGAGGGCATCAGCTGACCCATGTGAGGACAAAACTCGGGAGCCCTGACAGTGGTGTTGGTGGGGACTGGGCTCTCCTGTGCTGCCACAGCCCTTGCTATCCACCAGCCCCCCTGTGTGGCACCGAGGAAGGAACTGTCCCCAGAATGCGGCAAATCTGCTCGAGGTCACTGGACGAAGCTGAACGCAGAACCAAGCTCTGCTGCATCCGAGCTGCATCTGGTGTTTTCCTCCAGCTCCTTTTCTCCTGTTGACGCCACCCAGAGCGTCCGTCCAGCCTCCCTGAGCATCCTCTGTCCTTTCGTCCGAGGGCAGGGTAAACAGGAGCCCTTCTCTGGCTTCTCATTATTGCCGGCATTATTTTGTATAGCTCCATCAAGCTCCCCACACATTATCTCTTCTCTAAATTTAACAGGCCTAATCTTTTTGATCTGTCCTTTCACAGGCACCTTCAACTGCCACTAATCATTTCTGTTTCCCTTCTCTAGAACTTTCCTCTCCTTGCTGGGCAGGCAGAGATGTACCCAGGGAATGCACTCGCAGCAAGGTCACGCATTCACTTGGCTATTGCCATTACACTAGTTTGAGCCACTCTTGATATGTTTCTTACCATGGTTTCCCATCATGTGTTTTTATTTCAGCCTTATTTGATCATTCTCAAATCACAGCTGCACACTGAGCAAAGTGGTCCGTGAGCTGTTGGTTACAGTCTTCCACCTGTGTCTGCTCTGTTCATTCAGGAGGCATCAGTCACATCTTGGACAGTTGAAAAGTCCTGCCTGATTCTTCAAAGCACCTTTACCAGCCCCTTCTGACACCTCTGGTCTGAACCAACCCAAGTAGTTGAGTGTTGCTGGTAGATCTTATGGAATCATAGAATCATTTAGGTTGGAAAAGACCTTAAGGATCATCGAGTCCATCTACACATTTTTTAAATACCTCCAGGGATGGGGACTCAACCACTTCCCTGGGCAGCCTGTTCCAATGCTTGATAACCCTTTCAGTGAAGAAATTTTTCCTAATATGCGATTTAAACCTTTTCCTAATATCCAGTCTGAATCTTGACTCTCTCCTGGGCTCACTCTCACACTGCTGCTGCAGGCATCTTAGGATTTTATTCCCCACCTTCTGAATGTTCAATAACCCTCAGATTCTCCCATTCCTTTGCATCTCTTCATTGCTTTTCAGGGAGATTCTGTGCCAGCTCTCCTTCTGCATCTATTTTTGCAAGGCCAGAGGAGCACAAAGGGCTCCATATGTGACCCTCCGTGGCCCTGCAGTGGGCAGGGAGGGAAGCTGCCGTGCCTCCTTGGCACGCAGAAACTCTGCCTGTGTAATCCCTTAAGTAGCCTGAGCAATGCCTATTTGCACAAGTGCCATACAGTGGATTTGGGAGATTTCTGCCCTTCCCTGGAAAGCCGGCTGGAGTGAGTGAAGTGCTCCTGGAGCTTTGTGCTGCTCTGAGGCCATGCCACCTCTCTGCTGTCACGGTGGCCACCCACCAGTCCAGGACGGTCCTGGGGCTTCCTGCTGCCCCACAGCAGCTGCCTGATTGTGTAGCCATGCACGGAGTCGGATGAGAGAGCTGAACCAGCTGAAAGCCAGCCCTGCAAGAAGCAGCCATGAGTTGCAGTCAGATCCATTAACTGAGCCGGATCGCTACTGTGGGCAAGCAAAGGGAGGGGTGCTTGTGAGCACTGAGCTGGATGGGGAGAGCCAGACTCTCCTTGGAAGCAGCCTTGTGTTGATCAGCTAACGCTTTGACAGTCCTCACCTGCCTGAAGGGGAGTCCCCAGTGCTCTGCAGCCTCTGTGCGGATCATGGGTCCAAGAGTTTCTCCAGGCTCCTGCATCCTGGCTTGGTTTTGCAGTGGGGCTGGCGTGGCTGCTGCCTGGCCCCACCTGGGAGAGCAGGCCCAGGGCCCCTGTAAAAGGCACCTGGAATTTTCTTTAAGACTCATTTCAAAACACAACAAAATGTAATAACAATTAAACGGTGGCAGTCTCCCCTTGAGAGCTGCTGGGAGGAGCGTAATTCAAGGTAATGGTGTTTTTCTTTGCTATTGAGCCAACTTTGCTCTACAGCAGCCTGTCTGGGGGGTGCCCTGGTGCCACAGGAATACAAAAAACCTGGCAGAAATGGAAGGCTGAGACCACGGCACCACAGAGTACGAGAGGGGCACATGGGGCTGGACCATGGCCTCTGCTTTGATGGCAGCTCCCAGACTAAAACCCTCTATCAGAAATGGTCAGTCATGTTCCCGTTGAGACCCTGGCTTATGCTCCTGGTTGTACCCTGCGCCCTTGGCTGGGACAGCCTGCAGCCACTGGGTAACTGTCCCTGACCGTTGGCAGGGTCAGATCCCGCTCACCAGTACCCTCACCCCAGTGGGACTCGGGGACTGGGATTTGCATCAGCGTCAGACAGCCCGAGGTGGGTCAATGGCTCACGAGATAAGCACAGAGCCAGGGTCCTGCTGCCCCCGTCACCTGTGACAGAGCCCTGCTAAGTCGTGTTCACTCCTCCACCCAGGGGCTCTCCACCAGCTCGTTCTTCTCCTTCTCTCTACTTGATTTCTCATAGAGATCACCTCTCGGGTGGTCTGAACGGTGTCCATCACACCACAGGCCTCAGGACAGCCAGGGTTGTGATCAGGGGTCTCTTCTGGCCCAAGCAGCAGGATTTCTCCCTGTCTTTTCTTCCCTGTTCTTGTGCTCTCTCTGCCGAGGACATCCTCATGGGGATGCCTGGAGAAGCCACGGTCGGGTTTTATCAGTACTGGGTCTGACGCTGTGTCATGGCAACTCTGCCCTCGGTTCCCACCAGCCCTTCACTGTGGAAGGGAAATGTTGTCCCAGGAAGACAAAAGCGCGAGCGGTGGATGCCTTGACAGGGGTCCTGTTAGCCTTGAAGCCTCCATGGTTGTTGGATCGACCATCTGGATGCCAAAGGCATAGCAGCACAGGCTAGCAGAAATCGAGCAGGCGTGTGTGTGCAAGCGTGCAGGTTGCCCGTACGTGTGTTGGTCCTGCTGCAGCCCCTGGCCTTCTTCCATCCCAGCTGGCAATGCTGTGTCGGGAGAGTAGCTGATGCAAGCCCTGGCCCTGTGCTCTTGTGAGCTTCAGCATGGCTGTAGCATAAAACAGAGGTGAAGTGCAGGGGCTGTACTGCAATTTCTGGATCAGCTCTTGCCTCCTCCTACCAGCAGCTGGCTTCCCCTCCCTGCCAGAGCTGTCGCTGGATCTCCCGTGCTTTACGCTGAGCTTTGCTGGTGCTAGTCCCAATGTCCACTGTTTCACCCCAGCAAAGTTCAGGGTAGCACTGGTGGAAACTTGGGTGACAGCAGAGTCACAGCCCACAGCATAGACTTGGCAGTGGTTAGTTATGTCTTTTCACTGGAGTAAACAATTTTAAGAATCTGGAGAATTAATCCCAGTCCTCTGAGGCTTCTTTGACCCAGTGGCAGAATGAGATGGACTGAGCTGAAAGGATCATATTAATTCTCCATGTTATTTTTTAGCCTTAGAAATTCTTCCCTCTCCCTCTTTACTCTTCTCCTCCAAGATGGAGGTGAGTTATTTAAAGGAACATCTCATTCTACTCGCATTGCAGCATAGAGCAAATAAGACTGTGTTTTGACAGAGCTGAACAGAAGCCTACGGTTAAGCAAAGATAGGAAAGAGCAGTTTCAAAGAGGCGGCTTATCAGAAACAGGGCCAATTGTGATATGGGAGTGAGGAGGAGCGGCACTGAATGCCCTAGAAGCAAACAGAGAGAGGACCTGGGATGAAGGGGGAATACCAAACGAGTGCTGTGTCTTGAACATGGCCAGGCTGTCAGGGAACCCCCTGATCACAGCAAAGGCCCCGGCCACAAAATGAAAGCGCTCAGGAGCAGCTGGGGAAGAAATAGGAGGAGAGGAGAGATGAAACCCAGCTGTCTCAGATCCTACAGTTTGCAGAGCGATGGAGACTGTGGTGAGACACTCGAGTTGAGCCCTCCCTGCTCCACACAGAGATCTGAGGTCTGGGGCTTCCACAGATGGTTCCTGGCCTCCCGGATTAGCAGGAGGGATTGGGGCTGGAGGTCTTGATATTGTTTGCAGTTTGTTTCTAACCTAGCAGGTCTGCAAATCTAATTAATGGAGCGGACTGATTGGTCTGACTTGGGATCCTAAACAGGCTCCTCCACACTTCGCATCCTGGTCCATTGCTGGCTGTTGGCTTGAGTGCTTGGTCTCCAGCCACCAGCACTTGCCCCCTCTCCCTCATCTTTCTTGGTGCCTCCAATTGCTGTGGTCCTAGTTTGGTGGCAGGGTGGACAGGAGTAGCTCCTCCCTGGTGGGAGAAGGCGGCATTTTCCTAACAGGAAAGCCCCCAGGGCCTGCCAGGCTCACCCCATCCTGACTCCGCAGGTAGGAGACCAGATCCTGGAGGTGAACGGCAGGAGCTTCCTCAGCATCCCCCACGACGAGGCGGTGAAGCTGCTCAAATCTTCCCGCCACCTCATCATGACAGTGAAAGACATCGGGAGGCTGCCCCATGCCCGCACTACCGTGGACGAGACCAGGTGGATAGCAAGCTCCCAGATCGGAGAGACCCTCGTCAAGTCAGCAGGGTACGTGCTTGGTGCACCCCGTGCAAGCCTGCTGTAGGGCTGTCAACGCAGAGCTCCCGTACGGTGCATACGGTCACCTAGGGTGGGTGTGGAGGGGCAGCATGTGAAATGGTGGCAGCCTGATGCACCGCCACGTGCACCGGCAACCTGGCTACGGGAGCACCCCTGCTGCTTGGGGGTGTGTTGCCCCCGTATCTGGTGCTTGGAAGGCAGCATCTCTGGCCTGTGAGGTGGATCAGGTCTGGACACTGTGCTGCTGCCCCTTCCCTGTTCTCTCAGGCCAGAAGCTTTCAGCTTACAGGCACAGAGAGGAGAGTACCCAACAGGTCGCAGGTGATGAGTGACGGTGCTAATTGATCTTCCTCCTCCTCACAGGGCAGTGGGCGATCATGCTGCGGAGGCGACAGCCAGGGTAAGAGATATCAGGCCTTTCTGATGCCTTGTGAAAAAATCACCATCGTTGTCTCCTGTTTTCCATGGGAGGGAGGGCTTTGTGCTCCTGATTATGAAAGGGGCCTTAGTTTTATGAGGACTGGTGGGTTTTAACTGGCTCTAGCCTTTTTCCTGCCCATCTCACTTTGCCAGCTGTGTTTCTACAAATAGTGCCACTGGTGGGTCAGTTCTGCAGCACGTCTGGTGCCTCCTAGCCTGGGAATGATCACGTTAATGGGCAAGGGGCAATGATCGCACCCGGGCAAGGACCGTGGGGACCCCCTCCACCCTGCCGAGGTGACCGTGATGCCTTCTGCACGGTGGCTGTCTCCGGGCCCTGACAGCTCCTGGGATCTTTCCCACCCAGCCCTCCCCAGCACACCAGCCGGTGGCAGGGCTGCAGCAGCAGCAGGGACTTACCCCCCGCCCCCCGCCCCCCGCCCCCCGCCCCCCGCCCCCCGCCCCCCGCCCCCCGCCCCCCGCCCCCCCCGCCTCTCCGCCGCTGCGGCAGGGTGTTAATTAATGCGTTTGTCCCAATTCTGTTTTCGACTATAGAAAAGACCAAGCACTAATAAAACA